CTGGTTTGGGTATTAGCACTCTATTTGTGTCATAAAAGGAATTTTGGTAGGACTCTTTTGCATATTTTTCCAAATAGTTTATCTAGTATTGAGATTAATTGTTCTTTAAATGTTTGGTAGAATTCACTTATGAATCCATCTGATCCTGGGGATTTTTTCTTAGGAAGTTCATTGATGGCTTGCTTGTTCAATTTCTTTTTCTATATTGGGTTATTTAAGCATATTATTTTTTCCTCTGCTAATCTGAATAATTTATATTTTTGTAGATATTCATCCATTTAATTTAGACTGTCAAATTTATTGGCATATAATTGGACAAAATAGCTCCTAACAAATGTTTTAATTAATTGTTTTAATTTCCTCTTCATTGGTAGTGAATTTACCCTGTTCATTTTTGATATTAGTAATTTGGTTTTCTTCTTTCCTTTTTTAAATTAAATTAGCCAATGGTTTATCTATTTTATTGTTTTTTTCCATAAAACCAGCTTCTAGTTTTATTTATTAGTTCAATGGTTTTCTTACTTTTAGTTTTATTAATCCTCTCCTTTGATTTTCAGGATTTCCAATTTGGTGTTTAATTGGGGATTTTTAATTTTTTCTCTTTTTAGTATTTTTAATTGCATGCCCAATTAATTGATCTGCTTTTTCTCTATTTTATTGATGTATGCAATTAGAGATATAAATTTTCCCCTACCACTTTGGCTGCATCCCATAAATTTTGATATGTTGTCTCATCATTGTCATTTTCTTTAATGAAATTATAGATAGTTTCTATGATTTGTTCTTTGACCCATTTTATTTAATTTCTAATTAATTTTAATCTCTCTTTCCATTGTCCATTATTGAACGTAATTTTTATTTCATTATGATCTGAAAAGGATGCATTTACTGTTTCTGCTTTTCTGCATTTGGGTGTGAGTTTTTTATGTCCTAATACATGGTCAATTTTTGTGTAGGTACCATGTAATCCTGAGAAAAAGATATATTCCTTTCTATTCCCATTCAGTTTTCTCCAGAGATCTATCATATCTAGCTTTTCCAGAATTTTATTCACCTCCTTAACTTCTTTCTTGTTTATTTTTTATTTAGATTTATCTAGTTCTGAGAGGGGAAAGTTGAGGTCTCCACTAGTATAGTTTTATTATCTATTTCTTCCTGTATCTTATTCAACTTCTCTTTCAAAAATTTAGATTCCATACCATTTGACGCATATATATTTAGACTGACATGACTTCATTGTCTGTAGTACCCTTCAGCAAGGTGTAGTTTCCTCCTTTATCTCTTTTAATTAGAGCTATTTTTGTTTTTGTTTTGTCTAAGATCATGATTGCTACCTCTGTTTTCTTTGCTTCAGCTGAAGCATAATAGATTCTGCTGTAGCCCCTTACCTTTACCCTGTGTTTATCTCTCTGCTTCAAATGTGTTCCTTGTAAACATATTGTAAGATTATGTTTTTTAATCCATTCTGCTATCTGCTTCTGTTTTGTGGGTGAGTTCATCCCATTCACATTTATAGTTATTATAACTAACTGCATATTTCCCTCCATTCTATTTTTCTCTTCTTTATCCCCCCTCTCTCTTAGCCCCCATCCTCTCCCTCCTCACAAGTGTTTTACTTCTGATCACCTCCTTCCCCAATATACCCTCCCTTTTATCAGTCTCCCCTCCCCCTTCTATTATCCCTGTCCCATTTTACTTCATTATGGGGTAGGATAGATTTCTATATCTAATCAAATGTGGATGTTTTTCCCTCTTTGAAAAAGCCAATTTTGATGAGACTAAGGTTTAAGCTTTGCCCACCACTCCAAACCCCTAATCTTCCCCTCCATTACAATAGTTCTTTCATGCCTCCTTTATGTGGGATAATTTACCCCCATTCAATCTCCCCCCTCCTTCCAGTACAATTTGCTTTCTCATCCCTTTATTTTGTTTTTTAAGGTATCATCCCATCAAGGTCACTTTATATCCACATCCTCTATCTACATATACTCCTTCTAATTGCTCTCATAATAATGAAGTTGTTAAGAGTTACAAATGTTATCTTGCCATATAGAAATACAAACAGTTTAACCTTGTTATTGAATTTCTTATGTTTTTTCCTTCTTTTTTCTTTTTTACGTTTTTATGTTTGCCTTGAGTCTTGTGTTTGTAGGTCAAATTTTTTATTCAGCTCTGGTCTGTTAATTAGAAATGCTTGAAAGTCCTCTATTTTGTTTAATACTCATTCTCACCCCCACCCCCAGCAAAGATTATAATCAGTTTTGTTGGGTAGGTGATTCTTGGTTGTAATCCTAATACCTTTGCCTTCCAGTACATCAAATTCCAAATCCTTCAGTTCTTTAAATGTGGAAGCTTCCAAATCCTGTATAATCCTTACTGTAGCTCCACAATATTTGAATTGTTTCTTTTTGGCTGCTTACAATACTTTCTCCTTGATCTGTGAGCTCTGGAATTTGGCTATGATGTTCCTGAGAGTTTTCATTTGGGGATCTCTTTCAGGCAGTGATCAGTGGATTCTTTCAACTTCTATTTTGCCCTCTGGTTCTAACATATCAGGGCAGTTTTCATTGATAATTTCTGGGGGGGGGTTTTTGGCTAGGCAATGGGGTTAAGTGACTTTCCCAGGGTCACACAGCTAGTAAGTGTTATGTGTCTGCGGCCGGATTTGAACTCAGATCCTCCTGAATCCAGGGCCAGTGCTCTATCCACTGCGCCACCTAGCTGCCCTGATAATTTCTTGAAAGATGTTGTCCAGGCCTTTTTTTGTTTAATCATGACTTTCAAGTAGTCCAATAATTCTTATATTATCTCTCTTGGATCTATTTTCTTGGTCAGTTGTTTTTCCAACGAGAAATTCCACATTTTCTTCTATTTTTAAAACTTTATTTTATCTTGATGTCTCAGAGTCATTAGTTTCCACTTGTTCAATTCTAATTTGTGAGGAATTATTTTCTTCAGTGAGCTTTTGTACTTCCTTTTCCACGTGGCCAATTCTATTTTTTAGGAAGTTATTTTCCTCAGTGAATTTTTGTAAATCTTTCCCCATGCTATTAATTCTTTTGTCATGATTCTCTTGCATTGCTCTCCTTTCTTTTCCCATTTTTTCCTTCTACTTCTCTAATTAGCTTTTTAAAATCCTTTTTAAGTTTTTTCTAGAAATTCTTTTTGGGCCTGAGGCCAAATAATATTTTTTTTGAAGCTTCACATGTAGTCATTTTGACACTATTGTCTTCTAAGTTTATGCCTTGCTCCTCCTTGTCACCATAGTAGCTTTCCATAGTCAAGTTCTTTTTTTTGTTTTTTGCTCATTTTTTCTGCCTTTTTTATGTGAGTGTGTGTGTGTGTGTGTGTGTGTGTGTGTGTATGACTTGGTATATTTTTTATGTGAGAGTTGGAGTCTCATCCTGCATTGTCCCAAGCCTTTTGTGCTGGGGCTCTGGGTCTTACTGAGCTTCAGCTTTCAGTGGGCTTCAGAATTTAGTTGACTGCTTTCTCTGGAGGGCAGGCTTCCCTTCTGGCTTGTACTGGGGGGTGGGGCCTCCCTGTTGGCCTCCTCTGAATGTGGGGTTTAGCTGCTGGCCTGCTCCAGGGTTGGAGCCTTGCTGAGATGCACAGATCGCTCACTTGCCTAGGGGGGCTGCTGGTTTGTAGGAGGGTGGGACCTTGCTGCAGTTCCCAGCTGTGAGGCTGGCTGCTGCTGCTGCTGCTCTTGAACCTCTCACCCCAGTGAGACAGACCTCTTCTGCCAGGCTAGTGAGCTGCTTCCCTGCTCCTAGATCAATTCTGAAGTGGTTTTCTAGTTCCTAGTTTCTAGATTCCGCCTGCAGTACTAGAAAAGTTTTTTTCTAGTTTTCTACTGAAAAAAAAAGATGGAGGGGAATTTGGGAGGGCTTCAGAGGGTTCCATCTTGGCACCAGAAGCTTAGTAATCTTTTAACTTTCCTGGGAGAAGAGAGAGGGCATAAGCCAATGTAATGATATTGTATTTGCTTTATACTGAATGTGTTTAAGTACAAACTCCTTGTCTGCAATCAGGGCATGCCGTCCCTAAATGAGCAAAAGTAGCTTGATTATAATCTCCTGATCTGAATTGGAAGCTTAATCCACAGATGTGGTTTGCCAACAACAGAGATAGCAACATAATTTTCCTTAGAAAACATCCCCCTCCCCTTCAGTCCTTTATTTACCTTCCTGAAATTCTAAGGCAGTTATCAGCCTCTCTGGGCCCAGACTTTGGATGGTGGCATGAAGTAAGCCTGCCTGATGACTTAATGTCATCACTGAGTCATAGGCCTGATCAGGCCTTTGTTTTTCCCATGGTAAAGATCTACATTTCTGTCCTGTGGCTTTATAATCACAGGAGACTGTGTTTTCTCTGGAGTCTACCTTCTTCCATCTTCTGCTTTCTCTAAAGCTCTATGGAACTCTTAAGTTTCAGGACTTTTTTTTTTTAAGGAGCATAATCTCCCTATTCTCACCTTGTCTTCCCTTCTATCTGCTTCAGAGACAGCCTTTCCCATTCCAAGGTCAGACTTGAAGGGGAGGGGATGGTTAGCCTCATTAACAACAGGTTAGGGAGAGAGACTTTAACTCTATTACACAAGAGATGAAACATGTACGAATGGTTTTTCAAAAATTGTCTTCTAAAAACAAAAACAAAAACAAAAACCAAAACAAAAAAAGGGGCAGCTAGATGGCACAATGGAAACAGCACCGGCCCTGGATTCAGGAAGACCTGAGTTCAAATCCAGCCTCAGACACATGACACTTACTAGCTGTGTGACCCTGGGCAAGTCACTTAACCCCATTGCCTAAAATAACAACAACAACAACAACAACAAAAAGAAAGCTCTAAAATTGACTCTCTTGGGTGTTGAAAACTCCCTTTCATAACTGGGTGTTGGGGGATGAAGACATCATATGCATATCTTCTTTCTGTGTGAAAATCAGGTTGCCTCATGTTAATTAAATGAATGTCATACTGTTTTTTTTTTCTTCCAGATTCAGGGGAGAACAGGCATTCTGTAAGTACACATTCCACTTGCATAATTTAAAAAAAAAAAGACAAATCCTTGGTCTCCAGAATGTCATCAAAATCATCCATAGCTTCCTCCTCTCAGATGATTATTTTTAGCAACTGTACCAATAATGAGGACATTGTAGTAAATGAGCTCTGAGCTCCATTCTTATACTGACATTTTCTGACTGCATGATTGTTATAGCTCTTTAGACAGTGGACAATAGGAACCTTGGGCATACAGCTAGGAGATGGGATTAAAGCAGTGGCTTCCAAGCAATGGGAAAATTCCATGGAAATTTGAGAAGGTCATGACCTCAGGAGATTCCCTGGCTCTGGATCTAGTGGGAGCTAGTACTTAACAATCCAATTGATTGCACTGCTGAGTAACCTTGCTACCACTCTCCTCACGATCTAGCCATCATCAAAGTACACACTGGGCAGAAACTCTATACAATGACAAACAGTGCCTTTGCAAGAAGATAAAAATCCAAGGAAGATACTTTCAGTAGAGTCACAGTTGAGGCTATGGTACTCTGTGGTATGGTACTGTGTGTAGGCTCCGGGCCTAGGTTTTTAATTTCCTTAGCCTCTCCCAGGGAACAGGAATGTAGACTTTTTGCCTATCTATATTTGGGCATTGGTTCAAATGGAGAACAAAAGCTATTGTCCTTCAAGCATGTGAAGGTTTCCACTTCAGTACTTTGAATCTTGGGCATTTAGCTTTAAAACAACCTGTTTTCAGAAGAGAGAGAAGAGACTTTTGGTGATTTGGAATGTTTAGAAAACAGGGATGGGAGGGCCTTCAAGTTCTAGTTATTTCAGGTAAGCAGATAGTTTTGAATGGCCTGAGGGCTAACGGCATCATAGTTCTGTTTACAGATTTTTAGGTTGGATATGGGATGCAGGTTTGGGCTGAGGAGAGGGCCTCAAGAAGGGGCTAGAAGTTGAGTTCTATCTCTAATGAGACTGGAATTTTGCTGAGAACCTTATCTGTACCACATCCCAGTATGAAGAGAAGTCAATTTTTTTTTAAAACTATTTTACTTTTTTTTGTATCCCTTGTCCTCTGGCACCCTCTTCCCAAACTGTCGCCCACTTAAATCACTCAAAAGATCAGTAAACTTGGCTGTAGTAATTTCTGCTCCAGTGTGTTCCTGAAGGGAATAGGAAGAGGCAGTGCCTTCTGAATGGGAGACTTTGGGACGCTAGATTAGCCTTATTGAATTCAGAAAGCAAAACTATTATTCCCTCACTATCCTTGCAGCTACAGCAGCTAATAATAAGAATTATAAAAATGCCATTTTCTTTTTTCAAATTCTTCATTAATAAGTCTCTTGGGAAATCTATTTAGGTGATTCCTTATTTAAAAGAATAAATGTTAGAAAAGGACATTTGGAGAGTACTACTGTAGTAGTCATATTTGTGAAAGCTTCCATAACTCTATCATTTGTTTTATTTGTTTCATATTAAATTATTCATTACTTTGCTATAAAAATAATTGAATCTATAATAAGAAAAAAGAGTGGAAAGAAGGAAGGAAGAAATACAGCATTTTAAGATTTACAAGCATTTTAAAACTATAATACCCTCTTTGGGTTACTCTGCCAACTTGCACTTGTACTTGTAAGTTGGATCCCCATAGGGTGGCTATCACTTTGCGTTGAAGAGGGTAACCCAGTGGTTGACTATCTCTGAGTGATAGCTTAACCCCCACCATCAGTCTAGTATCTTTGCCAAGAAAACCCCAAATGGGGTCATGAAGAGTTGGACACAACTGAAAAATGACTGAACAACAACTTGTGACAAAGCCAATGGAAGAAGAGAAGTCCTAAAGGGTATCTCCCAATCTTGTATTCCTCAACTGCTAGATGGATTGCTTCTTTTAAACATAATCCCAAGGGGGTGTGACTAATTTTCTTAGCCAAAGGATGTTTCCTGTATGGTGTCAGTTGACCTCACCCAATGGCCAAAGCCCTATAGTACTCTCAAGTTGGCTAAATAACTTATTCACACACTTTTGGGGTTACAAAAAACCTCCTTAACATCTCCTTTACACTTTATAATTCTGTTCTGAGCCTTTTTTGATGCCCCTTACATTAATTGAGGTAGAGGAGGGAACTTCTTCCCTTATACATACATTGTCTCATTTGACTCTTACAACAACATTGTGTGTTAAATGCTTAGGTATTATTTTCCTTATCTTACAGATGAGAAAACAGAATCTGAGAGAGGTTAAGTGACTTACCGGGAGTCACACAGCTAAGAAATCTCTGAGTTGGGATTCAAGCTCAGGTGTTTCTGACCCCAAGTCCAGCCTCAAACAGGAGTTGTGCAACTTTTCTCCTAGCAGGTTCTGAGCATTAGAAAAATTTTATTCATTCAAAAGCATTTATTAATTACCTACTGTGTTCCTGGGACTGAATTAGGTACTAGAGGAAGATACAAAGTTTAGGTAAGACATAGTTCCTGCCCTCATGGAGTTCACAATCTAAAAGAGGGATAAGACACAAATAGCTATCATATACAAATATTATATGACAAGTATTGTTTGCCCTTCTTCTGGAAGAGGACCAGTGAGGTCAAGAGGTTGATGTCTTGACTTGCAAGTGAATTGGATTTAAGTGAGGCAGGGCTGTGCAAAGGCTTCAGCCTCCCTCTCTCCTCCAGAGCCATTGGAGTCCAGGAGCAAGTCATAGATCAGGACAATTGGAGATGACTCCAGATGCAGTGAAAGATCATGGCCTTTTTAAGCTAAGGTCTTTCCCAGTTCTCAATTTGTCTGAGGCAACGCCTGTTCAGTAATTTACAGCTAGGTAAGAAATGAGGCAAAAGTTGGCCTAGTCTGCCTACTCAAAGCAAAAAAAATCCAACTGATAGTGGAAGAACCTCAGGGTTTCTGGCCAGAGCAGAAACTACTGCTATTTACACTCACTCTGAGCCACCAAATTCCAAACAATGACCAAGTGAGACTTGGGCTGGAATCTATTATTGGCCAATCAGTGACAGCCAGAGTGATTTGGGTTTAAGGTATGGTCCAGAAGCTCCATTTGAATCCCAATGGGCTTTATCAAAGCCTGGTTTTCCAGGGAAGTCCCTATGAAAGGAAGCCTTAGAGAAGGTTTCATAGTGGAGGAGTCTGAGCTGGGCTTTAAAAGAAGAGTATGAATTTCACAGCGAAAGGGACTCAGGGAAAGCATTTGAGATGTGAGAGACTGTGCAAGTGACGTATGTTGGTTTCTTGGAATAAGGGCACATTAGTAGAAAATGGTGGATTAAAGGAGCTGCTATGAGGGGAAGAAAGGGCCCAAGAAGTGGAAAGGAGCTAAAGTTTACATCTCAGGCCCTGAACCAGATTTGGGGCCCTCTTCCTTTTGCCACTGTAGGAAGAACCTTGCCATGAACATCTCTTTCCCACTTTACTGCCAAGCAATGTTAAGAGCGATGATCTTGGGTAAGGATGCTCTTGCCTGGATGAAGGGCATAAGGGTAGACATTCAGAGTAGGAGTCAGAGGACCAGGGTTTGACCACTTACTTATGTGTGATTTTGGGAACGTCACTTTCTCTGGGCCTCTGTTTCTTCCTCTGTAAAATGAGGAAGTTGAATTAGATGGCCACTAAGCTCCCTTCTGGCTCAAAATGTGTGACCTGATGACCCTTCATCTAAGGCTTGGCAGGAATTTCTGAATTAGAAAACCTTTTCACTGGGGCCCAAGCCCCATTCTGGCGATGGATATCCAGGAACCCCTTTGTTTCCTGAGAACTTGACCTTGTGGTAAGGTCTCATTCCAATAGTGGAATTATTCTAGTCATATCCCTTTAGAGGAGACAATGAGACCAGCTGTGCTTATGGTGGGAATACTCTAGGTTCAGGGGAAAGAAGCATGAAACAAAAAATGAGCTGAATCTTTTCTTGTAGTTAGGACTGGCGTGAATGCAAAATTGAGAATTTTGATCTACTTGGTATTGTGAGACCAAGAGAAAAATGAGTCTTTGGTTCAGTAAACACCCCGTTTTAATAGTGATTCTGCTACAAGTGTGGGATGAATACTCCACAATCCCCATCTTATTTACCTTGTATTCCGGGTAGTAGATAGATACTTTGGATAATGGCTTTGACTCCCAAAGAACCTCTGAATTTGAGAGTCAGAAGGGACCTCAGTGGCCCATTGATCTCCACTATAATGCAATGGAGACCTTCAACGAGAAGGAACCTATTATCTCCAGTGACTCAGCCCATTCTGCTTTTGTCTAGTTCTAATTATTAGAAAATTTTTCCTGACATGAGGCCTAATTCCGCCTCTTCAAGATTTCTATCCAATGCTCTGCTCTTCAGGGCCAAAAATGAAAAAACCTAATCTGTCTTCCACATGACAGTTTTTCAACTGGGTGAAGACAGGTACTATATTTCCCCAACTTTTTTCTCATTCCATTAGTCAATAAGCATTTATTAAGGCTTACTGAGAGCCAAGGACTATTGTATTGTGCCTGATACTAGAGAATGCCAAAAAAAATAAAAAGTCCCTTCTTCGAAGAGCTCACATGCCAATGGAAGAAACAACATGCAAAACTGTATACACACAAGATATATACTGCATAATAAATTCAGAGGGAAGGGGAAGGGTGTGTGTGTGTGTGTGTGTGTGTGTGTGTGTGTGTGTGTGTGTGTGTGGTTTGACTGGGAAAGACCTCTGTGGAAGGTGGGCTTTGAACTGTCTGGAAGGAAGCCAGGGAACTCTGAAGGCTGAGATGAGGAGGCAGAGTATTCCCAGACATGGGCTACTGCCAGTGATAAGCCACATCTTTGGGAGATAGATCATTGTATTAGAGAGAGAACAAGAAGGTCAGTGCAGCTGGATCATAAAGTACACGGAGGTAATCAAAGTATAAGAAAACTAGGAAGGCAGGAAGGGGCCAAGTTGTGAAGGGCTTTAAATGTCAAAGAGAAGATTTTTATATTTGATCCTGGAAGTAATAGGGAGTCACTGTAGTTTATTGAGGAGGGG